ATTTTCATGCTGTTCAACTCAAAAGACCTGATGGTCCTTTGGAGGAACACATACTCAGAAAGGCCCCTCTGAGTCTTGGGGGGGGGGGGGCGAATTTCCCTTTGTGGTATCAGACCCAGGGGCTAGTGGTTTTCCTTTGGGTATTTTTTAAGACAACACTATCATGTAACATCTGGGACCAGAAAGAGATCTTTATGGTATATATTTTATAGATCTTTTCTTCTTAGATTTTCTTTTTCCTCTAATTAGTAAATGGCCAAGAAGTGCTAGATTCCTGTGTGAGCCCCTTTAAACATATGCTTGAAACATTAGTAATTCATTTTCCAGTTACACTTAAATACAATTTGGAAGTGTGCTGTTTAAAACTTTGATATACTCAAGCCATGAAAACGAGTTTTTCAAGAGGTGTGATACTTAAGGAAGTCCCAACCTACATTGCCAAGGTATTTACAAGGGCTCATTGTGACTCATCACTTTAACCTAAAGGAATAGGGTTGGTCATAAAACCCCCAAATCATACCTTAATTACTTGGGAGTTGTAATGGACCTTTACCTCTATCTCTATAAAGCTGTACTTAACATATTTATTTCTAAAATAATAAAGCGCTGCCTCTGATCTTTACTGGACGGGGGGGGGGGGGGGGGAGTTTGGGGAGCTGGTGTTGCCCGTCGGTGGTAGGAATCAAGGTAAAAAGTGCGAAGCAATATGAAATACTGATACTCTGCTTATAAGGCCCTTTTAGAAATTAAGTTACCAATAACCTCAGATGATTCCAACTGGGTTAATTTAAAAATATTGAAATAGAAGCTAAGAAGCAGACTAGAAGGACAGAAAGACTCTCCCTGCCCCCCTCCCAACCCTCCCTCCTTCGAAAGCTCTCACTCTCTCGGAGTAGCAGGTTCCAGCAAGTGCCTGGAATCTAGTCTCTTTGAGGAGAGGAGCACTACCACAGCAGGGCGTTCCCAGCTGGGGACTGAAGGCTGCTAGGAACCTGCAGACACCTGGCATGGTTCTTCAGGGCTCTAGAGACTTCTGTCTGGGGCTGTACGCAAAGGCTGCGAGCAGTCAGAAGGGTTTCCTGTGTGTCAGCAACTTCACTTTGCCGGATAGCTGGCGGAAGAGCGAGGGAGCACTCCCGGGCCAATCGCTCCCCAGCAGCCAGTTGGACCCGTGCGCCCCCTCGCCGCTTCTGGTAGCTGCGGAGGGGGAGAGGCTGAGCACGGTCGCTCGGTCACCGTGAAGATCTCCACAGAAGCGTCTTCTGACTCCAGGCGGACGCCCGGGAAAGCGCTGGCTAACCACGGGTCTGGCTCCGCCAGGCACGCCCCTAGCCTCCCGGGAGCAGTCTCACCCGGGTGCCCAAACTCCGCCCACCCTCGCAGGGAGCCCGCCTGCCCCCTGCACTCACCCGAGCGGGGCCTTGAGGAGGGGCCGCTAGCTGCACGGAGGCTGAACACAACACAGAAGCGCACGGGTGTGCGGTGACGCGCGCGCTCCGATGGCCCCCAGAGGCTGAGCACTGGGGGCCGTGGAGGAACCGGCGCGGGGCCCTGAAATGAGCTGCTTGATCGCAAGGTAGGGAGAAAAGAAGATGCCCAACCCAACTTGATCTTTGGGGACAGCAAGCTGGGGAGTGCCTTTGTCCCCCACTGAGTGCGGCACTGCGAGTTTGACTCGACCTCGGGCACACGCGCTCTGAGCTCTCCGGTGCGGACTCGCGGCCCCTCGGGAAAGCTCAGTCGGAAAGTTGTCGGTGCCCCGTGCGCCCTATTGCATAACCTCAGCACGGTGGCCAGGCGGGGAAGGTGGTGGCCCGGCCGCCAGCCCAGCTTGGTCTCGGCGGCGGGGTGGATTTCATGGCCCGCAGGGCCGGAGCCGGCGTGGGCGAGCCCGCGTGTGCCCCCTCCGGTGGGGATCCCGCGCACCCGCTGTCTTCGGCTCACGCGCTGTTCCGATGCTCGGTGCGCCCTTGGCCGCTGCCGCCCTCTCACCGCTGCTTGCCCCTAGGAGCCGCCGCGTGAGTCTGGGAAGAGAGAATGACCGAGGGGCCGTGGCCGGCTGTCCCCAACGGGACGGACGCTACCTTCCTGGCTGGCCCGGGCTGGCCCTGGGGGAACAGCACGGCAGCCTCCACGGCTGCGGTGGCGGCAGCCTCCTTCGCCTGCTCGCTGACCAAGACGGGCTTCCAGTTCTACTACCTGCCGGCTGTCTACATCTTGGTGTTCATTATCGGCTTCCTGGGCAACAGCGTGGCCATCTGGATGTTCGTCTTCCACATGAAGCCGTGGAGCGGCATCTCCGTGTACATGTTCAACTTGGCCCTGGCCGACTTCTTGTACGTTCTGACGCTGCCCGCGCTCATCTTCTACTACTTCAACAAGACAGACTGGATCTTTGGGGACGCCATGTGTAAGCTGCAGAGGTTCATCTTCCATGTGAACCTCTACGGCAGCATCCTGTTCCTAACCTGCATCAGCGCGCACCGGTACAGCGGCGTGGTGTACCCCCTCAAGTCTCTGGGCAGGCTCAAGAAGAAGAACGCGGTCTACATCAGCGTGCTGGTGTGGCTCATCGTGGTGGTGGGGATCTCGCCCATCCTCTTCTACTCGGGTACCCAGGTCCGGAAAAACAAAACCATCACCTGCTACGACACCACCTCAGACGAGTACCTGCGAAGTTATTTTATCTACAGCATGTGCACGACCGTGGCCATGTTCTGTGTCCCCTTGGTGCTAATTCTGGGCTGTTACGGATTGATTGTGAGAGCTCTGATCTACAACGACCTGGACAACTCGCCGCTGAGGAGGAAATCCATTTACTTGGTGATTATTGTACTGACTGTTTTCGCTGTCTCTTACATCCCTTTCCATGTGATGAAAACAATGAATTTGCGGGCCCGGCTGGATTTTCAGACACCAGAAATGTGTGCTTTCAATGACAGGGTTTATGCCACTTACCAGGTGACACGAGGTCTAGCAAGTCTCAACAGTTGTGTGGACCCCATTCTCTATTTCTTGGCAGGAGATACTTTCAGAAGGAGACTGTCCCGGGCCACCAGGAAGGCTTCCAGAAGAAGTGAGGCCAACTTGCAATCCAAGAGTGAAGACATGACCCTCAATATTTTATCTGAGTTCAAACAGAATGGAGATACAAGCTTGTGAAGATACAAGAATCACCGAAAACCCACTTTTGTAACATGGTAGGACGCTTAATACAGCCAAATGCTTTCTTCCTTCCCCTTTAAGTGTCTAGTAAGTTGAGAGAAAAATCAGTCCAAGAGACTAGGAAGTTAAAAAACTAAGAAAAACAAGAGAAACACCCACCCCCACACTTAGCATGTTGGGGGTTCACTTTCAAGGCCTCCGTTTCTAACTAAAAGTATGTAAAATAAAATTATACTATCCTAGTTAAACATTTACTTTCTCATCTGCCCTTAGAATTTACAAGCTGTTCTGCTTAAATGCACTGAGTACTAGCCCTATTTTGATATTAATAATTTCTCTAAGAGAACTGATCACTTGAAACTGAGTTGTCAGTGATCCATGGTGGGAACAAGCTGAAACTCAACATTCTCAAAGTTAACACAGTACAGCAAAAATGCTAAACTCAATTCATTGAATATCAGATGAAGAGATCTCAGCTGGGTGTCCCTTTGGTCCTCTAAACATAGGTGGTGGCTGGCTGGGTTTCTTTGGAGAATTGAATAGCAAAATCACTTCTTTTAAAAACCTAAAAAGTGATTATTTCCCATTTACTTGTAGAAAACTGCTCACTGTTAGGTGTTAAATGTTTGGTGTTAGAAGCCTGCATAAATTACCTTACAGGTAAATTGCTTTGGGAACAATCAAAGTTCATGTACGTTCCGTGTAAACACTGAACTCTTAGACTTCCTGTGATAAAGAACATTTATTTGTACCACTGTTGTGCAATGCCTTAGGAGTTTGGGTTCCAGTACAAATGTTCACTCATAGCTGTAAAAACAATGTAAAAAAAAATCACAGATAAATTACAGACCAAGGTTGAGGAATGTTGGACAAGACGATGATGATATTATCAGAGGGAGATGGTTGACAGTTATTCACAATGCAAGGTTGTAAACATATTCTCAAATGAGGGAGTGAGGAAAAGACAACTTTTCTTTTTTTTTCCTTTTTTTTAGAGGAGACTATTTTAAAATAAGGACATTAAGTGGTGTAAAGCTCTTTTTTTGCCTCTTAAAAATAATGGGAAAATGTGATTTGCAAAAAAGGCAGTAGACTTTGTACAATTTATGTTGATAGAATGAAAAGCTGTAATTATTAAATGGATCTTACATCTTCATATTTAAAGGGGAAAAAAACCTGCAACTATAGGGGAAAGGGAAACACAGAGAATTGTATCTATGGGCTGCCTAAGGTACCATACCACTGAAAAGTTCTGGAAACTACACATCAGGCTAATAGTTTAAGAGAAAACTACTGGTCGTTTATTTCCTCTGCCAGGCACAAATGAAAGCTTCAGTAATTTTAATAAGTTTTCAATGAATATTGAATTTAAATGAATAGTGAATATTGCATTTCTAGCCACTGAATCAGGTCAAATTTTGTATGATGGAGAATAGTTAAGGTGAGGGAACACAATTTCTAACTCGTAACAAATCTAGCATCAACAGAATTTCTGTCAAAATTAGCCTCAATGAAAGCCAATCTTATAGCTTGCAACTGTTGGTGAAATAACTTGTTTGAAAGCATTTGGTAAGTAAAGCAATTTGGAGGCTGTCTTCAGGCAAGAAGCTGTGAGATGTAGGGACGGGACAATGGGGGCTTGATTTCAGTTGTTGTAGTGCCCGAGAGTAGCCTGTGCATTTGTGAGACATTCATAGACTTGCTTCAGTTTATCCAGTCTCGGGCCGCTAACATCAATGAAGAAAAGCAGTGTTCAGCCTTACTAAAAAGTCCTTTTTTTTTTTTTTTAATATATATATATATATATGTGTGTGTGTGTGTGTGTGTGTGTGTGTGTGTTGGTTAATGCACAGAATTACAGAAGCCGTATCAACAAGAAACCAGGTAGATGTCCTACCTCCACTGCCCCAATTTTGAGGAAGTTAGCCAAGGTTCTCTTGGTTAGGATCCTCCAAAGCATTCACTAAAAGAAAAGGTATAAAATAGATCATTACTGTATTATCCCTGCTAAGCATCATGATCAGCGCCACAAGATTAATATGACTACACTGACCAAGATGGAAATTTCAAACCCTGTATCAGTCTTGAACTCCCAAGCTAAAGGTATGCATTTGTATAGTATTTCCTCACCATTCACTTCAGTTTTCTTTCTTTCAGGTCTCGGGATGCCAGCATGGTTGAATACATGTTCCACACATTGTTTCAGCTCCCAGAGAGCTTTCTTTTGGAGTGTGGATCCAGTGAGGTGGCCAGTGCCTGGAAAAGCCCTTTTACTTCTTGGCATGTTTTTTCCAGTGTTTCTTCTTCATCCATCACACAGTGGACAATGATAACTTGTGAATACATGCCAAATAGTAACAAGAACGATCTTGCCCAACCCCTTCTAGGCACAAAGAGGTCTCTGGGAAGAATCTGTCCTAATGGTAAAAACATACAGAGGGTCAAGACTATTGGCTAGAGATCTGATAATGTGATGATGTAAGCAGGTATTTTAATGGTAAAGGCAGAAATCTACTGGCGTTTGGATGAAAACACTGCCAAAATTATCGAACTAAATTTCACACTACAAAACTATTTTAATGCCAAGTTGAAGGTAGTTTATGGCTTACCAGTTGGCATCTTTGACTCTTTAAACATCACTGTACACTTGGATTAAAATGATAAAAAGACAGACGAAGAAGAGATACAGCAAAGGGTAGGTTTCAGAATTAAAAACATGACCTCACCACTCAGCCAACTGTGGAACTCTTGACCCATTCAATACCATTCTCCATGGATTAAAAAAGTTGGATGATACCCATCTGTTGGAACCTCAGGGGATGTGGTAAAGCCTGAAAACTACAGCCAGCCAGAGGTGCATGAAATCTGCTACTGTATTTTCCAGGACTCTTTGATTCCAGTCCTTGGCTAAAAATTCTCACAAAGTTCACCAATCATGATGTGGACCTATGACCCATAAGTTTTCTCAATCGACTCCAAACAGTACAGTAAACTGCCTTTGGATACAAGAGATGTCCGTGCTCAGAGCAGCTGGAATTGGACTAGTGAAAATAAAGATATGTAAGTAGTTAGGAATCTACTAAAGCTTTAACTTAGCTGGGCACAGAGTAACTAACATAGTATTTATGGATGGAGCTCACAGTCCTTCAGTTGTACAGATTGGAAAACTTTTTTGCAAGATCAAATATGCTGATGTAAGATTATATTTATTATGATGTATAATAGGTCACACTCGTGTATTTTACATAATGTGTTGCATAGATAAAATGAATTACTGTATAGTATGCTTTTCAAATATCAGTATCTTGAAATGTTCAAGTCTTAAGATATTGATCTAAAATATGAATGTTTTATGATAAAAGTGGTTAATTTTCTCTAGAAATGCTTTTGCATGTTTACCTTTTTATTTAGGGTTCTATATATACACACAATTGGGTGTCAAACTCTCATAAGCTCAATAGCAAATACAAAATATCTTTGCCAGACTAAGACTTACTGTCTATATTTTATATGACATAGTCAAGTTTCTATTGTCTTTAAAGAACATTTAGAATTGTGCCCCCAAATATGGTTGAAGCTTCCATTTCTAATGCAAAACCTTGTCCTAAATTCAAAGTAGATCTTACGTTTTAGAAGTCTGGAGGAATGGGCATTACAGATATATCAGAATTTAAGGAAAACCTAGGGAAATCGGGAGAGAAAAAGGCAGCTGGTGCAATCAGTTACTGTCCTCAGTTCTGCTTACATTTTTGTGTTGTAATCGTGTACTCTGAGATGGAGTTTCTAAGTAACACACTACCACCAAGTTCAAGACTGCTATTTAATGTTTTAGGTGTTCAGTTGGTAACTTGAATTTCAAGTTTTACAGTGATAACTGTGTATGATGTGGCTGCTGAATTGTTACAATTTTTTATTATGTTGTACATTGTATCATACACATCATTACAAATTAATATGAAGGGGAATATATGTTACATATCAAAATTTGTGACTTTGAATTCTAGTATGTTTTTGTGTTTTTGCAAAAATGTTTATTTTTATATTATCTGTGATTTTAACATAGTTGGACTAGATTTCTTTGTGATTAGTAGTTTCATTGAATGAGCAGTATGGAAACAGTGTTACTTGACATTTTGAGCCTTCTCAGGTTTATCTAAGTCAATGGTAGCTTAACAAATTCCAGACTAACTGTATGTAATTGTGTTTTTAATAAAAGGAATGTATATTTCCTATAATTTTGCATGCGTGAGTGTACAATATTGTGTTTGTATATGTGTTCTAAGGCATGCAGAAACTTTGTATCTGCTATTTATAATAGGAAAGCTTTGATATGGTCACCATCAACAGAATTGAACCTACTATAGACAATTAAAACTGAAAGTCTCAATAAAACTATGAAATGTGATTGGATGGCTTTCATGTTATTATTATAGTGTTAAAACTCCTAAGTTTCACCAAACTTTGACATACACTATGCTGACTGACACAGTATGTATTTCTTAAGCTGTGGCCTAGGGAAATGTTAAAGAATTCTGGTATAGGCTAATTTATAAGATTATTTATGTTGAGGAAAAATACAGAATCAATGCCTATCTTCATACTAGTTTTAAATGTTAGCTATAATCTTTTCTCCTTTAATTTTTAATTCATGGAAGTGATAATACTAAGAATTCTTTGTGGTTTCTGCTTATCCATTAGCCTATATTGCCTGCCTCTTTCAATTTTATTAAAATATATGTCGAGTCTTGTATAGTGATAAACTGTAGAGTGGAAGGGAAGCAGGCTTAAACCATTACCTTTTTTTTTCCTTGGCAGAGAAGGTAAGTGCACAATGGTCCTGTGTTGAGTTTTCTGGTCGTCTGCTGAGACAGGTGCCCCGTCACAGAATCCTGTGGGTAGTAAACTGTAAATTACTTGCAGCTTTAAGGTACAGTTTTAACTCCTTAATGAGCTATACTAGAATCTTCCCTTATTAAAATCAGCTAGGTAGAGTTTTGTGGGTGTGTATGTTTATTTAGTGCATACGCAGAAATAGTACAGAAAGTCATTTTTTCTGATTTAAGAATTTACCACGAAGCTGTGAGAATGTTTTGATTTTTAAAGTCACATTGGGATTAGAGTCAGACAGAGAACCTTCATTCCCTGTAAGTAAATACTCCTGCTTTTAATTCTTTTAATAAGCCAAAAGTTTATGCTCTTTTCAGAATGCTGAGAATTTTGCCCCCAGATATGGTCAGAGTTCCCAGTTCCTAATGTAAAAAAAAAAAAAATTCAAAGTAGATCTGTTATGGTTTAGAAGTCTGATGGGATGAGGCATGAAAGACACAACAGATGTCACTACACATCCATACTGATGTTACTCCCATGCTTACTTGCTTTCACCCTATAAGGTTATGCTGCTTTGGGGTGGACCCTGGGGACTGACATCTTCAACTAGCATAGTTGCTGGGACAGATCCGTGGATGCAGTCAGGCCCTGGGGCTGAGCAGCTGACAGTATTGCAGCCCCTTAAAAATAGACCTGGATAAAGGCGTAGGACCACAGGAGGCATGTGGGGCCAGTCAGTACTGCACACAGAGGAAAAATGCACTGCCTTTCCAGATTACCTGATGAGGAAAAATCACCAGTATCAAGGTGGGAAACCTTAATCCACTGAAACAGAGACCGTGGAGATGATCTGATTGAGTCCTATCACCTTGGTTTGATGGTGAGAGTACAGGTTTCCATTCAAAAGTGGAGCAACAAGGAACTCAGGATTCTCACTCCTGCTTGAACATTCCTTTCACATTGCAGGACTCTTCAAACTGTAGATTTTGACCTGTTAGTGGGTGATGATGAGCTCTCTTTAACAAAACAAAACAGACCAGACTCCATTACTCAGTAAGGCTTTATGATTTTCATTTCAGAAACACATGCTATATTGATACAAGTAACATGTTATTTGTATGTACTCGTGTCTTGGGTCACAGTGGGCATTTGATTTCTTAGAGGTCATTTGATTTCTCTGAGGACCTAGTCAAAAAACAAACTACACTACTCAGTACAGGTATGGGGTTACAAGAATAGGGTATGAGAGATTTTTTTTTTCAAAATGACTTTTAAATAAAGAGGGACTTGGTTGTTAATTTTGTTATATGTGTCCTCTTTTTACAATACTTAAGATCACATTTGGAACTCCCAAAGAAACAGCATTCAGCTTACATTTTACATCTAAGCTTACATCAGCAAGGAGAGCTTTTTGTAGCAAAGATACTGTAATTGAAACAGATGTATGTAAACTTTGAAGCTTAGCTCTTCATACTAGTCTCATTGGTATGAAAAGTTAACAGTAAAACAGTAAATGTCCACTATGTTCAAGAGTAGCAGCTTTGCACTCAAAATGTCTTATGTTTGAACCAAATTCTACCACTTATTACTTGTGTACCTTGGACAGTTGCTTACCTCTTCTGGCTTTGTGTTCAATTATAAATTGGGCATAAAATGGCAGCCCAAAGATGTTGGGAGAATTACATGAAATAAAAAAATGCAAGGCACTTCACAATATACCCTCAGTAAATGTCAGGTATATCATTCTTGAGGCTGCTAAGGACTTTGCCACCCCATATGCTGTTTTGTTGCTGTTTTTTGTTTCTATTACTATTTTTATTTCTGTTATATTCTTTCATGCCGTGGAGACTTTGTGGGTCTCCTAGAATTTCTTGTTGTGGACTTGAGTGCATATATTTTCTTTTGGACTCTCCATTGAATATCTGAGGTCAGGTAATAAGCAAGTGTTCAACTTTTTTGATGTTTTGCATTGTGATATACACTGTGTGGGACAAAGATGCAAATCAAAATGTGTGCAGCTAAAAATATATCAACAAGAAGAATATGCTGACCTTTTTAGCTGGGCTTCACCTCTCATATTCAGTCTATTTTCACTTGCCACAGTCTAAAGTCTGATCTTCAGTTTTGCAGATACAGAAACTTGATCTCAACAGTTCACCTAGAGTTCACCAACTCTGGAGCACTGACTCACACGAAGAAAACTGACAAGAGAATCAGTTACCAACCAGAACACCAGTTTATGAATATACCATGGCTACATCCCAGTCACAATAAGACATTCGCCTGTTGTTCAACTTGATTATAGATCAAAAAGTTGCCTACAGAGCTTAAAATAAAAACACAGAGGTGATATTCTTGAATGGCATTTTCAGTGAGAGAGATAATCTGAAAGAATTGCCTATCCCTGAAGACACTGGTT